CACCCAACCTTCCTTTAAGGAATAAATTAGTTAGTGTAATGTTTGACAGATGTCAAGAAACAAGTGGATTAAAACAAACCAACCTTGTGAGCAGCAGAGGGAAGAGCTGTGTTGGTTCCTACGTGTGGCTGATGGCTCCAGAACCTGCAGAGGAGGTGCCCTGGGAAACGTTTTCCTCTCCCTTGCCTTGGACATACAACTCATATTTCTTGACTTCCTTTTCACTTTTTCTCTATTAGAATGTTCCAGTAGCAATCACTGACACAATAAGCACATAAAATAGCTTTTGAAATATATTAAACCTTGAGGGGAGGAGGGAAGTGGGAGCTGCTTCCATCCCTGATTTTGTCGTGTGACACCAGATTGCCAGCTATTTTTTATCTGGTTCCCTTTGGAAAAATTGACTGCTGAGGTAGGACAGCCAAACCAAATGCTTGCATTCAGCGAGTTCTGGAAACAATTGATGAGTAATTGGATGAGAAAGGGGATGGTTCATGGTGGCCCTTTCGGTGCTGGTAGGCACCTACAAAGAGTTTCTTTTGGAAGAGAAAAGAAGTTGGAAGAGTAGGATGTGTGTTTTGATGGATGGGGATTATTGCTGGTTATCTAGTGAGGGGACAGTGGGCATTTGGTAGCGAAAGTGGTATTTTAACTGTAGATGAAAAGTACCATATTGAATGAATCAGTAGTTGTGGCTTTGAATGTGAAGATACATGAAGTTCTATGGGGCTGTTCTTCACGGGTCCTGAAGCTGAGATGTGTGTGTACCAGGAGTTGGAAGGACTTTGCATGGGAGGAAAAGTATGGGTGAGTCAGGCCTTGTGCTTTCATTGATGAGTGCTTCATACAACAGGTGAGGTCAGTCATGGCTGGTTGAGTGTCCTTCCCCAAAGTAAGGTTGAAGTGTACCTTCATGAATTAAATGATCTCCTGACATTCTTATCGTTGCCTGTTTCTGTGATGGATATCTGCAAGTTGTGGTTTGGTCCGTTTAGAGAAGAATACTTTGTTTAGTATTTTAATGCATCCGTGCTCTTGCATATCTCATACATTCACCTTCCTTTTGTACTTTAATTTCCCCTAATTCTTAAAGCATTTGGACATTGCAGTCACTGATTAAAAAAAAAAAAAAAAAAAAGATTGAAAAATGGTGAAATGAGTCTGTCTGTGCAAACTTGAGTGATGATAGTTTATCCAGTGTGCTTTTCAAGTGGTTGTGCTGTATGTGTTGCTCTGCTCTATTTGCTGCTCTGTTCTTTGCGTTCTGGTCTATGTACAGTTTGTGCAGAAGTTTATCTTGCTGCTGTCACATCACTTCTGTACGAGGATGATTCATGGCCGAGGCCCTCAGCACGCATTGCTATGGAGACTTCAGGGCACGGGCAGCAGAATGGCAGGGGCTGGAAGGGACCTCAGGAGATCATCAAATCCAACCCCCCTGCTAAAGCAGGTATCCTACAGCAGGTCACACAGGTAGGCATCCAGGTGGGTCTCCATACTTCCATAGGAGGAAACTCCACACCCCTCTGGGCAGCCTGTTCCTGTGCTCTGTCACCCTGACCGTATAGGATTTGCAGCATAATTTTTCTCAATCATTTGTCCCACACATGGAGCTCAGCAGGATGGCATTTCTACTTGTCAGGGGGACTGAATTTCTTTCATTCTACATGTATAGGAAGACATTTTTATTTCAGTTACGCAGAGCTTTCCCAATCTCTGAAAAGCTTGGGGGTGCTTGAGCCAATGCTCCTCTTTGATTTTTATGCTCAGAAGTGTGCCAGATTGGGAATGTGGAGCGTTTGAGAAAGCAGATATGTTTGGTCCCTGGTTCTGCTGTCTTTTTCTGGTTCAAAACGAGTTTGGGATGCTCAGTGCTCAACACGAAGGGACCTCTGCTGGTTTGGGAGCACCGTTGGGACTCTTGGGAAATCACCTATCTTTTGGCAATAGAGAAGAGCTGAAACATTAAAAAAGAACAATGTTGGCATTGACTGGGTGGAAATAACAAAAAACAGCAAAACAAAATAAGAAGTTACTCATCTCTTCCCAGAAGAAGGGCGAGCACTGCCTGGAACGGCAGCTGTGGCTGATGGAGGAGCCGTGCAGCGGGGCTGGGTGTCCCACGGAGCGCCCCGTGCCAGGCAGGAGGGCTGGCTGTGGGATTGTTGTAGGGACAATGCTGGCACTGTGTGGCCGTGGGGCTGACACACAGAGCATGCTATAGAACAGTGATCGCAGTGTCTGTGTCCTGGCATGTCTCAGCAGGCTCTGTGTCGTGAGCCCTTGCCCATGAAGCTGGCAGGAACAGATGCTGGATAGCAGCAAAAAGGACCTCAGCCTTGTAGAGGTGCAGGCTCAGCATGGGGCTTTGGGCCAGGTGTGGGGAGCTCTGGATCTGCTGGTGGCCAATGTAAGGAGCTGATGGAGAGAAGTCAGCATGCTGGGTTCTGCACAGTGCTTGGGTCTAACAGTGCTGGTTAGTAGTTGCATCGCTGACTCACCGAGAATCTGTCTGATAGTCTGATCTGAATGACTTGCTTCTAAACCAGCTTCCCCACAGGGAGGTTGAGTTGCAGGTGAGGAAGTATGAGAAAAAATTGTACTCAGCTGGGAAAACCAGCAGTGTTGCTGTGTTTTGAGTAGTGCTCTGCATTTATAATAGAGCTTAGAAATGGGTTGGTAGTTGTTCACATATCACACGCGGCACACAGTTCAGCTGCACTAAAATAAGGCCTTCAGGAGACAGCAAATGGCCTTTAGCGTGGTCTTACCCCGTGTTAGCATTCTCAGAATGAGAATGAATGGGTTGTTAAGTAGGAAGAATTGCTTCTAAAATCAGGATTTAAGTAAAATAACAACTGCTGCATACAGGCTTGTCGTGGGCACTTTCTGTGCCCGAGCTTCCACTGCTTGTTCTGAGAATAAATAGTTAATGTTGTGGAAGTACTGAAAGGAGGAGAATGGTTCTGTTGTTTCTCTTCTGTACGTGCAGTGGAAGTGCACAAAGCTGCTGGGAGTGCCCTGCGTGTGGGTATTTGTTTGGGTTCGGGCTGAAGAGCGCAGCCCAGTCCTGCTGCCATGGCTGGCGGTGGCCCGGTGCCAGCCCGCGTGCTTGGCGCGTTGTATGGAGCCCAGCTTGTGCATATGGAATCTGTCGGGTGGGTGCCCTGCAGAGAATGCATTTAGATTGCAGTTAAAAATACCGGTGGTTCACAGATTGCTGTCTGGCCCTTCGCAGCGTGTTCAGAACCATGAAGCAGTCTTACTCCTCAGACGTCGATGCAGTTTTGTCACCTGCTTCTTCTCTTTTGTGCATGAGAAGGTGTTTATCTGTTTCTTCCTTGTATGGAAGCAGCACGCAGCTGTTCTGGTCCCTGTTGTAGCCTGTCGGTAGCATTATGCTATATTAGATCATTGTTTAGAATGGGCTCACATATATTTGGTTTCTTCAGTGTTACAAAATGGCCTTCAGGTTTTAATACAGCTCAGTGGATTATGTGCAGGGCCGATCCATCTGCTGTACCAGTCTTTGTAGCACTTACAGCCCTGTTTAGAGTAACGGTGATGAAAAGATGGACTTCCAGGGCTGTCAGCGAATGGTGACTTATGCAGAAAGCATTGTTCATCAGAAGGGTTTGCCAATTTGTGAATATATCATTCTATAAACATCAGTTAATAAAATTTACCGCATAACTGTGGACATGTTTAAGTCAAGGTGAAATTCCATTCCTTCATTTTGCTTTTCTTACAACTTCGGAGTTCCGGAGAACTCTTTTAATAGATGAATTCCACTGCTTACTCTCAAATCCAAACAGGACATGAGTTTCCTTCTCCCTCAGCCCAAAGCCTGGCCAGGCAATGCTTCTCCCTGAGATGAAAGCTGGTAACAGGGCGTACAACCACAGTGTGCTCATCCTTACACTGTTTCATCTGCCTGCTTACTCATAATCGTTAACTAAAACGAATATGCTATGAACTGTCCTGTGCATCACCTGAAGACCATTTATATTTACTGATCACGGGGGCTTTATTGGGAATACACACTTCTTGTAAAGCATGACATGGATCTGTCCCCCTGCTTGGCTGTGAGCTGGGAGCACGAGGAGCAGCTTCTGTCTGCTGTCTGGATCCAAAGCAGGCAAACTGGGAGCTGCAAAGCACAGTGCAGTATCACAGAACCACAGAATGGCCTGGGTTGAAAAGGACCACAATGATCACCTCGTTTCAACCCCCTGCTGTGTGCAGGTCGCCAACCAGCAGCCCAGGCTGCCCAGAGCCACATCCAGCCTGGCCTTGAATGCCTGCAGGGATGGGGCATCCACAGCCTCCTCGGGCAACCTGTGCCAGTGCCTCACCACCCTCTGGGTGAATGTCCGTATGTCAAAAAGTATTGGAGAATAGCAACACTTCTGTGCTTTACCAAGACAGAGGTGCGTTGTGTCAGGAAATCCATCCAAACAAAGGTGGTTTTTAAGCCTCCTGCTGAAATTGCTGTAAAAACCCCTGTGTGTGGTGTGCAGGATGTAACAGCGCAGTAATTGTGTAATTTAACAAGTGCATATTGCAGCTTTTGTTGTGTGTTTGAGTTGTTGGACTGATTTTTGTTTCTTTTCCCTGGGCTGTGTGAGACCTCCAGTGCCACATCACAGCTGCAGTGTGATCAGCTAAGGCAGAGAAAACCAGCTGGGTGTTACTTACATGCAAGGTTGCATTGGTTGCAACTGAAGTGATTCTCATGGGTTTGAGGGATGCAGATCTTGCTATGCTTACCACTGTGGTTTTGAGTTGTTCTTTGATTGCTGTACAAACTTTGCGTGCTGCAGTCTCAAAGTTAAATTACAAGCTTTGGATTTTGTATTGCTAGATGATGTGAGAGCAGTAGGAATAGCTGCCATGAAGGTTTGTTACCCCATTCCCTATTTGTATGATGATAAAAACGAGCAAATGGCACAGAAGTGGATCCTATGATGACACACCTGTCTTCTCTTTTCCAATTCCAGGGCGTATTCCCTCGTGGACTCCAGTCAAGTTTCTACTTTCCTGATTTCCATTCTCCTCATAGTCTATGGTAGTTTCAGGTAAGATTGTTCATTAAGGCTTTATAGAATTCTTCTTTTTAAAATAAAATGTAACAACAAGGAAGTGGGTATCATTTATGTCTTTTATCTATCTGTATGTGTGTCAGACTGATGGCTAATGTAAATGCAACATTTCTTTGTTCTGAAAAGGAAATGGAGAAGGAAGAAAAGGGAACCAGCTGAGGTGTCTGAGAAACGTAACTGTATGACAGCTTACAAGCATGTATAAGATAACTCTGAATTTAGTCCTTAAAGACAGTTCTGTAGAATTGTATTGCAGAGGGTATGAAGGGATTGCTGGGAGATATGATGTATTACTATCAAAAGTGCTGTTTTAAATGCAACATTTCAGTGTTGATTCACTGTGTTCCTGCTCTGTAAAGCAGAGATCCCTGAGTCCCAGCACTGTTGTCATGGCTGTAAGGTGAAAGAGGGAAGTGGGGAACACGACCAGGGCTGTATTCTAGCAAGGTGCTTGAGAATGCCTGTCTGTAATGTTTGAATCTTCAGAATTTGCCCCATTCAGGAGACTTGAGTAGAGAAAATTTTGTTCTCCCTCTGAACTCATATCGTGAAGCTTTGCTTTCCAGCGTAATGGCACCCAAGGAATGAGTTTCATACTGGCATACATTCACAGCATACTTTGAACAGTATCACCTGCTCTGTAGTGTCCTATTGCTATTATACATGCTTTTTAACTATTTTGCCTTGTGTTTTACATTCTAAGTTGCTCAGTTTACAAGGCTGTACACTCCAGAGGAATCTAACTTAGTGGATGAGTGGTGATGAATGCAAATCAAATGAGAAAATGCCTGTTCTAGTCCCTTCCTTTTGCATGTTTTCTGAGCACTCCAGCTTATTGCAGACCAATAGTCTGATGCTGCGAAAATTTCCTACATTTAGCTACTTTAGTAGATATATGAGCTGAAACCCAGATGGAACTGTGGTAAGACTTAAAAGAAAGTAGCCCTCCTCAGATAACCTCATAGAAAGTGGGCATGGTTTCTGATTTTCAGTCTGAAAAGAAGCAAATAGAGCTATTGTGGTATTGCTGGCAACTGCCTTAGACAGAAGTGCAGTAATAGGATCAGAAGGAATTGGGTGGGTGAGTCATTAGGATAAAATCCACTTGTGTGGTGGATCTAATCTAATGCAAGAGGTTTCAGGGGAACAAAGGAGTCCTGGTCTGCTGTCCTGATTGGTGCTGGTAGCAGAGACAAAGCAAAATCTAACAAGTAAAACCAAACCAAGATATTGAGACAAATGTCCAATGGATCCTGAGTAAAGCCTGCTTCTGCAACGGAGTACAGCTTACAGTGCAGAGCTCCTGCTTCTCGTACTGTGAATAGAAGAGCATTCCCTTCCTTCATTTGTGCTGGGTCAGGAATTGTAATTTCAAGCCCTTCTGAACATCTCCCATACATGCTCTGACCCTCCCTCAGCCCTTGTGCTTGGTGTGCTTTGTTGCCAGCTGTCAGAAGGGCAACTATCATTCTTCAAACAGTTACAAGCTATAAAATGCAGCATGCAAGGGCATATGTTAGTTACAGCTTTTCAGAGAGACGAGATTAGCTGCAGGTGGGTTGTTCTCTGTGTTTATTGCCATACAGTTCTTGCAGAGGCACTTCTCTGGTTTACCTGTTGGGTCACTTTGCAGGCAGGTAACAGTGAGATCTTCTATCCTATCACCTGCTCAACAGTGATTATGGTAAAGCCTGATTTAACCATCATCTGTCTCTTCTAGTATCTCCTTTTAAACTGTTACACGGATGCTTCTCAATCAGAACGAGGACTACTTTTGTGTTGTGAATATTTGCAGAGGTATCTGCTCAGGTTTTAAATAGTTTTGGTGTTTTGGTTTTTAATGCTTCAACATTTGAAGTATATGAGCTGGTTTGCTCCCCGCTTCAGAAGCAGTGACTGTGGGCCCTCACAAATCACTGCTGTCTTCGTTGGCTAATTCAGAACTAAAGTGCAAGCTGTACCTCTGTATGTAGGTGAGGACTGAACTTCCCATCCCAAAGAGTCTCTGGTTTTCCCATATTAAGCATGCCACGTTTTAGAGCCCTGAAGACTATAGAACATATGGTATGGAAGAGTAATGCGTATTGGTTTTGTTTTCCTGTGCTTTCCCTGCTCTGTCTTGCTTATTTAGGTTGCGAGCATGTTGAGATAACGTCCTTCTCTTTTCTTGTCCTTCACGGTGCTAACAGCCGTGATGGGTCCACGTTCCTGATGTTCATTAGTTGACAGCATTCTGTGCGTTTCGGCTGCGTGTGAAATGTATAAGTAGGTGTAAGAACCTTAGATTTCTCTCTATGGCAGTGGTTCAAAATATTCAAATAAAACGTCTGACTAATTCTGGTAATAGTGAGTGGGGTAATAAAAATAGCTGGCTGCTAAGAGAAGGGAGTGCTTGGAGTTCATAAGCACCTGCTGCTGCAGAGCTGACAGGATGGAGCTGGGGGCTGGCCAGGCCTTTCTGCTGGAGGCCACCAGGAGTGTCCCCATGTGTTCTCACGCAGGTGGATGTGTGAGCAGCTGCTGCAGGTGGCAGCTCCAGGCAGAGCTGTGGCACCTCGCTTGCACGGCTCTATGGCATGCTTAGGAGCTAGTGCTCCATCTAGGCAGCGCCTTATGCAGTTATTGCCCCTCTTTTCTCCTCCATATCTTGCGTGAGAACTTGTCTTTTAATCTCACAGGCACATTTTAAAAGGTGTTGTGACAGTGTTGGGGCACAGCAAGTGTTTTGCCTCTCTCTTCTTTGAGATCTGAATGAATTCAGCAATCTCAGCTCAGTGTTTGGTTCTGATTGTCACCGTTTCATGTAGAACAGCTGAAGTTTGGCAGTTTGTCAGCAACCTCCAGTTCTCACAATCACAGGGCTGTTCATACGGAGCAAGGCAAGGAGGAACTTGCTGGTTTATCACTCATTAGATGCACACTCCGTTTCATATTTCCTCCTTTGCTTCGTAAGAACATTTTCCTGCGGGGTTTCCCTGAAGCCTTGCTGCAATAGAAGTGACCCATAGTTGAAGTTGAACTTGTATGATAGTAATATGCCAGCAGCTCGCTCAGTGCTGTGGCCTCAGCATCACCCTGCCAAGCACTGCCCCATGGGAGGGGAGCTTTGAAGCCTGCTGGAAATGAGAGGCACTGTGAGGACCCACAGAACGAGCAGCTGTGGTTCATTGCCTGGCAGGAGCTCTGTGTGAATGCTGCTCATGGAAACAAAGCAAAAACCTTGAATGAAAAAAGCAAATGTTTCTCACTCTACTGTTTCTTTAAAGCCCAGTAAATTCTGGAATATCTTGTTTTTAACTTTCTCAGAGGATTTTTTAGTGACCGTTCCTTAGTTTTTTTATTAGTGATCATTTGTAGCAGAGGGAAGGGCTGAACTTCAAACTTGGTGCAGATGGCTTGGAAACAAACTGCTTTCTGAGGGAAAAGGGAAGTAATTTCCTAGTTTGTGCTTCATTTTGAGGTGAGGGTATTTGCAGGCAATAATGTCATAATTGCTGGCTGTACTGTAATTGAAAGAGAGCGGGCTGAAGTTGTTCGTGAGCAGTACACACAATAACATCTTTCCAGTTTTCTTTGCTGATGGCCCCATAGATGGGGAGGAGCTCCCTGGTGCCACTGATGGGGTGCTGCTGTGAAGCTGTTGCTGAGAGAAAAGTGAAATGCTGCTCTGAGAAAGCAGCACCTTGTTTGGCTGAACCTTGGATCCATTCCACACGGCTGTCCGCTGCCTTTTGGGCTTTTAGAGCTTGAGAGACGAATGTGAGGCTTAGTGTGAATTAATGGGCAGAAAGGAGGTGTGAAGGTGGATGCTTCTCAATCAGAATGAGGCCTACTTTTGTGTTGTGAATATTTGCAGAGGTAACTGCTCAGGTTTTAAATGGCTGTGGTGTTTTGTTTTGTTTTTTAGTGCTTCAGCACTTAAAGTACATGAGGTGCACCACCAAACCCCGTGCTCTCAGTGGTGTCCCACTGCTGCTGCAGCTCAGCAGCCTGGGGCTGGGCTGCTGCCCTGGGAGCTGTGCTGTGCAGTGGTGCAGTGCAGAGCTCAGGAGGAACAAGCTAAGAGGGTTCATCTGTTAGGATTTATGTTCCCTATTGCCTCTTGCATTTGCGGTAACTTTTTAGCTGATGCTCCAAGTTCTGTGTGTCTCAGGCTTAAGTTTCCTCATACTTTGTGTAAGTCCACATTTTGCTTTCACTTCACGATAGAATCAGTTGTGTAACAGAAGCAGAACCAGAATGAGTTGCTTTCTGTAATGCACCATCCTGCAGCCCCATACTGATTGCAGGTTGTAGGATTGCAGCACAGAATTGCTTACCCATGCATTGCATAACCTATGCACTAACACAAAGTAGCTTTGATACCCATAGGATGGAACAGAAGATTGTGATGTTTGGTTTTGTGTTTTTTTTTTACCAGTCTGACAAATTAATGGCATGCTTACTTTGCACAGTACAATTGCTTGCAGCTCAGCTTGGGAAAGAACAGAAGGATCTTAATGCTTGTTGACCAGAAGGCTTAAGGGAGGAGCTGTGCAGTGGTTCTGGTGGGTCCCTACAGCTTATTTGAATAAATAAATCTACAGCAGTGTCCTGGATAACTTTGCATGCATGTTAGGAGAAGGAGAAACTATTGTGGTAAATTGGATGGCCAGGGTTTTTGTATGAAACAACATAGAAGTTAATGATAGGAAATGACTGCTGCCCAAAACGGCTCCTAGATGGAATTCCCTCCTTTCAGAAAGTTAAGCCAAAATTTGTTGGAATGTAATCTAGAAACTGCACAGAAGTGAAGGACTGTGGTGAAAGTGATAGAATAGTGTGTTGTTTGGGATTTTGGTTTGGCGTACAGATAAAAATGAGAAGATGAATCAACTGGAGCTCAGTCTGCAGGCAGGGGAATGTCAGCTGCTGAGGAATCAATGTGTAGCGTTTCGGGAGAGCTTCCTCTCCTCATTTGTGCTGTCTCAGGTGCATACATGGTTACTTTCTAGGCTTTGCTGAAGCTGTTTCAGTTAATTAAGGGCTTCCTTATTCAGCAGAGAATTACATAAAAGCAAATTTTGATCATCCTTTGTTAGAAGAGTGAGAGGAAGGAAATAACGTGATGTTGAAGATGAACCCCACTTCTTAGATCTGAACCATGAGGCACTAAAATGAGAACTTCAGAGTTCTGAAACATGAGAGAATTGAAACTTTTGTTGTGTTTCTGTCACATTCTGAGTTTCCAGGTAACACAGATAATATCTGTGTTGTGGTTTGTTGTTAACAGCTGCCAGTGCAGTGTCAGATTCAGTACCAGACCAAGTGTGGTTGGGTGCCTCACTGTAACCACGGGCTCTGTGTAATTCCTGGTGTGTACGGTGGGCTGTTTTTTTAATAACCAGCTCTTAAAAAACAAATGAGGGCTTTCTCATGGGGAAGCCGCTGTTGTAGCGGGGTGGTAATGAGACCACAGCCAGCGAACCCAGATGGGAGTTTGAAATTCGCCTGCTAAGCTTGCTTTTCTTTCCTGCAGGTCTCTCAACATGGACTTTGAGAATCAAGACAAAGAGAAGGACAACAGCAGCACGGCTGGGTCTTTTAACGGCAACAGCACCAATAACAGTAAGGGTCAGCTTTACTCCTTACCTTTTTTTCATCACTTCAGTGTGTTGCATCTTTTGTTTCACCCAGCCTTGTGTGTCAGCTCGTGCTTTGCAGCTCCACCTGATGTAGTGGAGCTGTTCTGTGGAAGCAGGTGCATCAACTCTGTGTGTGTCCAAGGAAACTGGGTTTAAGCCATCAGTGTCATGTTTCCATAATGCATAGAAACTTCATGCTGTGCAATTTGTCAGGTCCTGCTGGATATGGAAACTGCTTTCATTTTTATATTTGAAATAGGGTTATGGAAGGCAGTGTAATTAATTTCTCTTTGTCTGGTGTTTATCACAGTGACACAACACATTGGCCTGTTTGCAGACAATTAGAGGTTTAATCTCATGCTATGCTAATGAGTCTATAGGGATGATTCAGCTTTATCAACACAGATACTGGAGTATAGCTTTCACATGGCTTTGGGTGCTCATGTAAAATGGACAACAAAGCATGTGTACACATGGCCCTTTCAGAGCAGAGATTAACCTGTCAGCTCCGATGCAGGGGCTGTGCCCTCTGTTACTGGATGAATGGATTCCAGGCAGCTTGGCCATCAGAGATACGCTGTTTTGCAAGCAAAAATGTATATGTGAACAACTGGAGTGGAATGTGTTGTACACAATGTGCTGTAAATTCACACCTGGGTGTAATTTACAGTAACATTTGTGGCCGTACTCTGAGAACAGACTGGAATGAAGTTTCAGCAAGTGGAAGACATGGGTCTGGGACAGGTGAGCCCTGTGCACAGATCTCTGGATGCTGAGGTGGCTTTGTTTCAGACAAGAGATACAGCTTGAAATTAATACATAATAACAAGGGGGATGTATTTTTGTGGCATTGGGGATTTTTTAGCCATTGGCAGCACAGTTCCAGCACAGAGGTGGTTCAGCAGTGAACTGCTGGGCTTTGGGCATGTGAGCGCAGCAAGGGGATCAGCCATCAAACTGATCAGGACTGAAATAAAGAACTTTGACATTTAACACTGCACACCCTAATTCCCATACACCAGGGCAGTTTGTCATATGTCACTTCTGTTTTTTCCCTTGGGAAATGGAAGAGCATGTAAATAAATTCCATTTCTCAAGGCAGGAGGAACTAGATGTAAGCCGCAGATTAGGACACAGGACTTTCTGTCTCGGTGCTGTCATCACTGGGCTGTCTGTGTTGTGCTTTAGCCTTTTGTCACTGCTCAGTAACAGAAGTACCAAGGGTTCGTGCAGTGTAAGCAGTGTGATGGCTGTGATCATGGTTCTGCTTTTCTTTTACAAAAATTACAACATACTGTTGACAGCAATCGTGTTTCTTTTCATTTCCATGAGGGTTTTTTGACATCCCTAAATGTGTTGGTAACTGTGAGTTCTGTAAGCAACCCATTACTATGCAGCTTTACTGGAAAAAATGCACACACTTCTACACACATACAGAGTTTGTGTGTATGTATACTTGTGTGTGTATTTGTGTATAGGTTCGTGCATACGTATGTGATTCATAATCATGAGTTAATTTTTAACTTGTTATTCATTCTGTCTGTGGCACCAGAGGAAAAAAACCAACAAAACACGAGTCTGCTTTCAGCTTTCAGTTCTTGAGCTACAACAGAGCAGTCCTGTTGGTGCCCACGCTCCCTGCCAAAGCTGTGTCATTTCAGAGCTGCAGGACAGTGTGAATTTCTATAGCACTGACCAGCACTGGCATGAAGCACGGTGTTCAAACCCAGAGTGGTGTCCGTCGCTCAGGACAGGCTCCAGGCGTGTGGCTGGTATGAAGGAGCCCACATTTAGTGTCACCTTCTTTCTTCTGCAGGTATTCAAACCATCGATTCCACGCAGGCGTTGTTCCTGCCCATCGGAGCGTCTGTGTCTCTCCTTGTTATGTTCTTCTTCTTCGACTCAGTTCAAGTTGTCTTCACAATCTGCACAGCAGGTGACTGCGTTCTCTTTTTACTCATTGGAATAGAAGATAAAGCACTGATGTCATTTTGCATTATTGGTGAACATTGTGAGGCGTGTCATCGTGCATTTTCAGAAAATGAATTGGTTTTGTGATTGTGTTTTTACTCTTTTTGAGGAGTACCCTGCAAAGTTTGTTAAACTTACTGATCTGTAAATTGCAGGAGTTTTGGAAGGTGCTGGATGTGTCATCTTAAGCAAATAGTTCCCTTGTTAAAAATCAGTGCTTAGAGCTGTATGTGGTATTTCCTACTTCAGCTGCTTTATAGGATTGGACCGTAGCTTGGTATTGGTTCATAGCATAGGAGGAGGCCCTGCAGACCCTACTCAAACTTCTTTCCCTAGTTCAGTTTTGGTTTTTGCTCTTACGCTGATTTTCGTAGTTTGAAGGGTTTTTAATTGTCAGTGTTACTCTTGCACTGCTTGGCCTTAGGACAAAAATGAGATGATTGCAAATAAATTGCAACTCCTCTGATCCTATTTATTATTATTTACATTTGGCTGTTTAAGTAAATACCGGGACTCTGATTTTTGGAAAGTGTTGGCCTTTTGATCTTCCTGCAGATTTCCAGATTTCCAGCTGCTATTCAGGGAAACAAGGTCCTCCTTACTGCTCCAAATGTGCACGAGCTTTAAAAAGTTGTCCTCAGTTCATGCACTGAGTCTGGGAAGACTTTTAACCCCTTCTACCTCTCATCTTCTCCCACTTGTGTAGTGCATGCTTTTCCCTCCTGACGTCCAGCTCCCCTCCAGCCTGCTCAGCAGTGTTGGTGTTGGTGGGTGAAGGCCAAATCCTGCTCTCCAGATGAGTGCTGGTGCTGCAGTCTGTGCTGCTGGTGCCACACTGCTGGGTGCTTGGTGCAGCTCTGGCTGCTGTCACGTGGGCTCTTTCCTATCCTGAGTAAATCATTACTTTGTATGAATTACTGCCCAAGATAGATGTTAGTGATAAGGGAAGCTTTATGACAAAAGAAAAACATTAAAGTCGATCTTATTGATCCGTGTATTTCCAGAATGACCCTGACATTTGTGACTGTGAGGCTCGTGGTGTGTAGTCAGGCTGCATTGTTCCAGCCAGGGCTTGTTCCAGGTTTAGGAGTACCGAGTCCCTGGATTGGTGCCCTAGGGTATCTCTGCTCTTGCTTTATGGTACTGTTGTGGCCTCACATCAGGGAGTGTCACTCAGCACAGAGCCCAGGAGCCCTGTTGGAGGCGCTTGGCAGGGAGCAGGCCACGGGTCTCCAGCTCCAATACATCTCCCTTTGTGTAGAGTTCAGAGGCTGGTGTGGGCGTGTTTTCAAATTATGGCTGGTATCTGGTTTCTTAAACTGCTCTTAAATCTTTCTGCCTCAAACACTGGCTGTTCAGGGAAGGGTCAGGATGCAGGGAAGGCCCCACCGCAGCGCCGGGCTGGGAGGCAGAGCTGCGGGTGGCACAGTGCTGCTGGGGGGAGTTAGGGCAAGGCATCCTGATCCTACAGTAGGTATTGGGGCTGAGGGGAAGGAGAAACATCCCGCTGGGCAGTAAGGAGCGAGGCTGAGAGTGGGTCCTTGTGGGCAGGTGTGTGTTGGTGGTATTACATCTGATCTCTCTCTGAGGGAGCCCAGCTTCAGGGTAGCAGTGGTGGTGGAAGCCAGGACAGGAGGTGTGGGATCCCCTGGTGGGGAACCTTTCCAGGCACCTCTGAAAAGCATCTGAGGTACCTGAGTGCAGAGGTCTTACGCTCTGTGTTCTTTCTCTGCCCGTTCTGTTTTCTTTCCCCTCCTATCTGAAACGCGAATAGAACTGTGAGTTTCTGTTTGCCAACGGACACCTTTGTATTTGGTGTGAATTTGTTTGGTTATTTATTTCTTTCTTCTAGCCAGACGGGGCAGAGTTGAGGGGTGGAAAGATGCAATGTGACCAAGGCGATTTTTCTCCAATTGGCTTCAGCTGCGTGCTAAAGAGAATGTGTGATTCCTCCTCCCCTCATAGCTTAGGAAAGAAAAAAAATATTCTAAAAAAGCAATGACAACCATCAGAACTTCAGTTCCTTCAGTTTGCCTTTGCTGTCCGTGCTCCATCAGTTCTGGCTGCCGTGTCAGTGCTGCTGCCGGGCGCCTCTCCAAGCCCTCGCTCTTCCGCCTTTTAAAGAGCCTTAATACAAAACCCATGCTGTTATTAAAAAGCAAAAAGCTGGAAGGGAAGAATGGTTGGAAATGCCAGCAGTTACTGAACTTTTTCTTACTAATGTGTGGGTGGGGAAAATAGGCTTCATGAAAACAGAAAATATTTGGGGAAATGCTGTGTTTGGTGATTTCTGTCACTTCACCATTTTTTCCTGTTCTCAGAAGCTTAAGGCACTTTGTATTTTACCTATTTTTCAGTTGTACTGTGGTTGAGTAATGAACAAATGGCTGTGAGTGAGAAGGGAGAAAAAAGTGACTGAGCTGAAAAACCAAAGAGCGCCTTTGTTGTGCTGAGCTGTGTGAGCTGTGTGCTAAAATGCTAAGGACCCCACAGTTTGCAGGAAGATCTTTCCTTTTTGTTGACTCCTGGAATACTCAGAAACTTTATTGCCTACGTGATCATGAACAGCTTGGATGGTGATTTTTGTTAACGTATATTTTTTCCTTTTAGGTTTGGAGGTAGGAGCATTCGATTCTTTCGAGAGCTTTTATTGTGATTGAAATTTGAAATTAATAGAAGAAAAACCTTGGAGTCTTTAACTGCTGCTGCTTTAGTAATACTGTGTCTCATAATAGAACATTGTTGCAAGAGCTTTTTCAGATTGGAGAAGCTACTTTGTGTGCTGCAGAAATGAGGTCTGGATGTACTAATTTTACCTTTTCTTCCTTTTCTAGTCCTTGCAACAATAGCTTTTGCTTTCCTTTTGCTCCCGATGTGCCAGTACTTAACAAGGCCTTGTTCGCCTCAAAACAAGTAAGGACTTGAAAAATGTTTTACTCCTCTTCTTGTGTGCTATTTATTTTAATATGAATTCTTTAGCAGTCTTTGGTTACAAGTGTTTAACCTTGGGGCCCCAGTTCGTGCGCACTTCTTCTGTGCAAACACTTTGCTTCCACTCCAGCACTGGGGAGCATCGTTCCTGCAAGTCATGCGTGCTTGCCAGGCTGGGAAACACAAAACCATTGCAGGGGAATGGATTTCCCAACAGTGGCTTTTAAGAAGTTTGGTTTATTTTTGCTGAGAATTCAGTTTCAGAATCGGTGTTGGGTTTTAATGTTTGCTAATGTTGAACTAAGGATGTTAGTGCTGGCTTGTTTGGAGGCTGTAGTTACACTGGTGAAAACAGCAGTGGTTCTTGTCGTGTTTTGAAGTCAGATGTTTGCTTCTTTTCTTGTGACTCGGGTTCAGGATGCAAAAAGCACTTCCAGATGGTACCAGGAAATGCCATCCATGCGAGCCATTTCAAAAGGGATGCCAGGATTTACAGGTCTTATTCCATCATTATAGTTCAGGCGTCACACATCACCTGAATGTTAGGCAAGTGTATTTTGCTGCTGTTCTGGTACCTATTTGTGGCTAAAGAACTTCCCCTCGGTTGTTCTTGGCACCCTTCACCAGTGGTTGAGCTTTGTTCCAGTAGCATCCATTTCCTGTTGTGTAAATGGCAACACGAAGCCCCGCAGCTGATGTCTATGTGTTGTTCCTAGGATTTCCTTTGGCTGCTGCGGGCGTTTCACTGCTGCTGAGTTGCTTTCCTTTTCACTGTCTGTGATGCTTGTGCTCATCTGGGTCCTAACTGGCCACTGGCTCCTCATGGATGGTGAGTATGTGACTGAAGGGATTCGATTGCCACTTCGTGCCTGTTGGGACACATGCAGACACCCGGGGATGGCTGGTGACATTTGCTGTTATTAATGTCTTGCTGAGTTGTAATATTTGGGTGGCAGGCTCCCTGAAAACAAGCCCTGTCAGAAGCATGCTGGGGTAACGATGGGGACTCCTGTTTTTCTGGTTTGTGAAAGCTTCCCAGGAAGTGCTGAACACCCATGAAAGGCTTCCTGCGCCTGTGTGGAGCAGGGTGAACTGCCAGCTTTAGGTAAAGGTGTGTGGAGACGGTGGTTGCTCATGAATCATAACGTGATCTTAACAGTCTGGTTCGTTTCTGCTGTGTGCTGTGTTGGGTTTTGCTTCGGACGATCAAAGACTTTGTTGTGAGGCAGCAGCTCGCTGTCTGATGGTGCTGGCTGGGATGGCTGGAGCTGGCAGGCTTACAGCTGGAAGTGTGGATGAAAGCGATCTTTTTGCTACGTTCTTTATTTTTTTTCCCCCTTTTTCTGTCCTGGTTGAACCAAATTCACAGCTTAGTGTTCCCACAAAGAGCTTTCCTCCTCCCCTCTGCCTTCCAAACCTCTTGTGCTGGCTCTGGCATTCATTTAGTCACATGGTGAACTGATTCAGCTCACTAGAATGGTAGCGTGCTCTTTTTTTGCTGGGCTATTTTTCTGCTGCTGCAGTGGGATGAATCGGATTATTGTGCATTCAGGTATGCACTAGATTTGGCAAAAGGTAAGTGGCAGCACGATGGGATCTGAGAGGATCGAGTGGATGTGACAGCAGAGGGATGAAGGGGGCAGCCGGGGGCAGAGCTGCTGCCTCTCAGCGGTGTCAGGCATTGAATTGGCTCAGGACATCTCGTGAATGATGTCCTGAGGTGGTGACTGCTTGAGGAAAAGCAGCTGGATTGGCATCACCTGCCCTTGAAATTGCATCTTTCAATAAACCATGTGTGCCACCAGCTTTCTAGTTGCTCCTAAATGAGATAGCAGCAACAAGTCCTGAGCACTGGCACCTTGACTGTGAATTTTGTATATGGGGGTTATGTGTCAGTCATGCTCTCTGCTGCTACTGAAGCTTCCACCTGTTGCCTGGAACACCTTGTAAAACACTGACAGCACGTGGAAGAACGCAGATGATGTTTGTTTTGTTTTATGCAGAGTGGCCCATGAAGGAATCAAGGGTGATCCTTGATCTGTGGTACATACATAGTTTAATGTAGATTCAGGTGTGAATTTTGACACAGTCTGAAGAGATTTGTCTGTCCAGAGGAGCTGACAGAAGCATTTACTCAGAGTAGTCATTTCTGTGAGCAGTGCACTCTGAAATAGCAGGCATTGAGGCAGTTCACCTGCAGGGCTCTGATCTGTGGGCACTGAGCGCATCCTGGGTTTTATTTCTTTGTGGTTGTGATGCAGTGAATTGTGTTGATGCCATTTAGCTTTGGAGTATTTTATGTCTTTTATATTGCAGAGGTTGTACTATGTAGGTTAGCCTCCCTTAGTTGTTTAAATCCTTCTGGTCCTCTGTCAGCAGAAATGAAGCAGAGGTGACTGTGCCTTATATTGGCTGCAGGGAGGAGCAGGGTGTGCCTTGTGCAATGGAATCTTTCTTTTTGAGTATTTTAGAGCTAAGTAAAAAGGGAAATACTCCGTGGCCTTTTCTGATATCTACAAAATCGAGGTGCAGCAGTTTCTGTCAGAAAAGCCTTCACTGCCTGAATGGAATTCCCTCGTCCCCTGGTAGTTGGTTGGATGTTCCTAGGTGTAGGGACTCATTGCAGGATAGGATGAGAAGGCTGTCTTATAAGAGCTTTCCTAAACAGAGGAGGTGTGTGGAGATGGAAAATAGGAGTGGTGTCTGTAGATTTATGCAGTACCCTTTGGCAGCAGTGCAGTGAACTGAACAGTCCTGGGCACCCTGGGAACTGCTGTGGATCTCAGCTATTGCAGCAACCAAAGAGAAACTGCTGCACTGCTGCACGGTGTGTATTTATTTCTGCTCTGTAAATACACTTTGAGAGTTCTGTAGGTGTGTAATTAGGTCACAGCTTCAGCACCTGTTTCAAAGGTCAACTGGTGGCTTATGGGTGAAGCTTAAGTTCTGCTTGTTTACGTAATGATCTGCAGAACAGAAATTGCACCACTGATTTCATCTGTTCTGGTTGCAGTAGGTCAGTAGAGCTAAAAAAAAAATACAACTGCAAGCCTAAGATTTAATCACATATGCAGGATTAATTGTAATCTTCAGAATATTCCTCAGAATATCCTTCTTCTGTAAGAGGTGTTTCTTGCTGGAGTGTGGAAGTCAGTCCCTTCACTTGTCTGAATGGTGACTCTTCCAGGTCATGCTGTCAATTCAGCACTTCCAGCTGAGTTGCTGTTGGCACGGCTTTCGGTCTGTGTGTTGGTCCTTCTTTCTGTCTCCTTGTCAGTTTGTCCTGCTGGCAGTCGGACTGATGGGCTGACGGATGGATGGGAAGACTAACGGACTGATGGACAGAAAGACAGTCAGATGGCCAGAGAGACAGAAAGATGAATGGATTGGCAGACTGAAGGATGGACGGAAAGACAAACTGACCATCTTTCCATCTGTCCCTCTGTCTGTCAGTGCCCATCCTTCAGTCTGTCTGTCCATCTTCCTGTCAGTCAGTACCTCTGGAGATGGAAAGATGGATTTGACAGGCAACTGGGTGGACTGATGGACATTTGCAGGACGGACTGGTGGACAGACAAGGGCGGAGACAGGCAGACAGATGGAAGGATGAACAGAAGGACACGTGCATGAAAGGGTGCATAGAGAGATGGACAGACAGAAGGACAAACGGGCTGTCTCTGTCCATCCGACATTCAGTTTGACCGTCTGTCTTTCTGTCCATCCAGCACTCCGTCATCCTGTCCGTGTGTCCTCCTGTCTGTTCCTCCAGCACTGCCTGTATTTCTGCCTGTCCATCACTCATCAGTCTGTCTTTCCATTGACACTCCATCCGTTGCCGTCTGCCTTTCTGTCCGTCCATCTGATGCTCTGTCCCATCTGTCCTTCCATCCTTCTTCCATCTATCTGCCCTGCATTCTGTTTGCCTGTCCCTCCATCTGTCTCTCTCCAGCCGTCCATCTTTCCATTTTTCTTCCCCCTTTTAAGCACTGTTCACTCGGTGCAGTGAAGATGTCAGATGGGTGCCTGTGTGAATTTCCACGGTACAGGAACCGACTGTGCGAACAATGGCTAAAAGTTCACATCGGTTAAAATATTCCCACTTCCAGTTAATTATAGCGTGGAAATCCTCTCCTAAACATAGGCCAGCCTGAGCCATTATTAGCACTGGCTTTGGAGAAATCTCTTTGATTTCAGACAGCCCGTTCCTTTGTATTTGCTCTTCTTCAGAGGAAGTCTGCAACTGAAGGCTGTACTGAATTACTGAACGCACTTCTTTCGCTCCCTGCTTTGCTGTGTCCAATTCCTTAAACATCAATAATTTATGTTCTGTAACAAGTTGCAATAACGCAGCATGATTTAGGATACTTGTTTTTTAATCTCAGTAATCACATCTCTTCATTAAAACTGGCAGCCGTGCTGCTCAGGGTTACATGGAGATGTGGAGGTGGGCCCGGCAGGCTGGGCATCGCGTGCAGCTGTGCTGGGAGCTGCTCCATGGCTTTGTCTCGAATCTGTACTAAATTGTCTCTGTGGTGCTTTGATGGAAGAACTCCGTATCTGGATGAAATGCAAGCGTAATGGATTTTTGCTACTCTGCAGTGATGGTGCGAGAGTTAGAATGTTGACTTGTGAACTGTGGCCTGATCAAGTTGTCATGCTGGTGAGCTTTGCTGACAAAATACGTAGGGGATTGGATTTGTGACTGCAGAGGAAGGGTTTCCCCCACCTCCCCTTTCTAGACATGTGTGTCACGTTTCAGGTTTAATTTTGCGTTGCACATCCTTAATCTTCTCCTGGAACAGAATTGACAACTCTGAGCCTGCAGCATCAGTCAGTGCAGTTTGCTGGTGTGTCTGAAAGCTCACCCCTGAGAGAGGACTTCCCCTGTTTTCCCACTGATGGGCAGGCGTTCACACAGATGTTTGTTACTGGGAGATCCCTGTACTTCTAAACAGTAGGAGCTCGCAGCTGATGTTTGGGCAGCCTTGCACAATCTTGTTCAAGTAGAAGATTGGTTTGAGTGCTTCTTGGTCGTACTGTGTGACGTTAGCATGTTGATTTCTGGAGTTGTTTCCTGCTGGGGGCACAGAGGGTTGAAAGCTGGATGTTGTTGTTTGTAACTGGAGAGCTTGTGTTGTGTGGGGGAGGTGGTCTCTAGGGCTCTGATCATGAGGACGTTTACTTGTGGTGGACAGTGGAAGTGCAGTGGTATTTCTGTTTCTATGAGGACGTGTGCAGATGGATGTGTTCCTCCTGAATGTATTTTGTCTTCTCTTGACTTGCGAGAACTTCAGTATCTGGAAATACTAGAAATCCATCTAGTGCAGTGCTGCTCGGGTGCAAACAGAAGCTTCTTCTGAGTGGTGGTTTTTTTGGGAGGGGGTATTGGTTTCTCTTTCTGTTGTTGCTTGTTTGGTTTGGGGTTTGTTTTTATTTTTAATGCACTAATTGTGTACTTGCATTTTGTAGCTCTGGCTATGGGCCTGTGTGTTGCAATGATAGCCTTTGTCCGGCTCCCGAGCCTGAAGGTTTCCTGCTTGCTGCTCTCTGGGTTACTAATTTATGATGTCTTTTGGGTAAGTGCTTTGTTTTGTTCTGCTTAAACTTTTTATTGTTTGGATTTGTAATTGGTCTTGTGCTGCCTTCACATGAAACGTGCTAGCATGAAGCTGAGTTTCATTGCTCTCTTCTGAAAACTTAAAGCCTTCAGTGGAATACATTATAATTTCCTCCCTAATTAGTTAACAAAAGCAGAAACATCATTAGAATACTTCAGCTTTGGCAGATTCTAAGAAAAAACGAGACCTTCAATTTTGAAGGCTTGGCTGCAGATCAGAACAAGCAGTTCCAAATGAATGTAAAGCCTTCTCCACGCTGCACGGTGCTGCGTGCCAACTTAAGACTAGCAGTGGAATCCTCAGAACAGGAATGCAAACTGATTTATAGCCAGTGAAGCTGGCATAAAATCTTACAGCGCTTTTGCAAGAAACCTGACAATATATTTGGTAATACTGGAAGCGTGTAGTTCTACCTTTGCATAGCAGCAGGCACTGACTGGGAGGCCCTTGCTGACAGCTCTGGCAGTGAGTCAGTCTTTCTGTGTGCGAGCCTGTTAGAAATAAGCGTTGCATCACCCAGGCTGAGCACTGTGCTTCCCTCTTCTCTGCTTTCAAGCTTTCTTATATTGGGTGCCTCAGTGCCATCCTCTTCCTGGTGCTCGTTGTCCAGATATTGTAGTACCTGTTGGTCAGTATCTTGATATCAGAAAGTATTCCAGTTATTCTTGAGGAGCAATCGTGTAAAAAACTAAAATAGCTTATAAAAAACCAACAAACAACACTTTTTCTAAAAACCATTCTGCATTTTGTTGCCCTTATCTGCAACGTATGCATACGGAAATGAAAACAATCTTCTGTTGAATAGGTGAAGCAAAAAGAAGGGGGAAAAAGCTGCTTTAAGTTGCTGTGTAATCACAGTTTGTCATTTCTAAGGATTTTCTGCTCCGCAGGTCTTCTTTTCTGCATACATCTTTAACAGCAATGTGATGGTGAAAGTGGCCACACAACCTGCTGATAATCCCCTCGACGTTTTATCCCGGAAACTTCACCTGGGACCAAACGTGGGCAGAGATGTTCCCCGTCTGTCGCTGCCTGGCAAACTTGTATTTCCAAGGTAAAATCAGCAATTCTTTCATGCTACTATGGAAGAAAAGTTTCCCTCAGCACTCTATTAGCACTAATTCTATTCTCTGCTAATGCTATTGGAAAACACCAGCTTGGTTTCCTATTCGATCAATCCCTCTTTGTGATAAGTAGTAGAGTTTAAGGATTTGGTGCTTCCTGTTTGCTGTCTCGTGCATGCAGAAATGATCCTAAGTTAGGTCCTGGCCCGTTCAGAACAGGATACACTTTGATGTGAGTTCTGCAGTTTAATAACTTGTGCTACAGTTACGCGTTTATGAATTCCTGCTTAAAACCAAAAAGAGCTGAGGTTTATTCTAAAATTAGAGTAGTCATAAGTACTGCATAACTGCAGGGGGAGGTGGAGACTGGGGTGGGCAGTGAAGACTTAGCGGGTGAAGCGCTGTGTTGGAGGGAGATCATTCCACATCTCTCCACGGCAGGAGTTCCTTGATTAGGGTTTTAAGCCAGCTCCACGCAGCCTGCGAGCGCTTCAGAAGCCTCGCAGTCTGTTGCCATATCATTATTTTATTCTTCTTTCGATGCTGGAGTGCTGAAATAGCAGAGATTAGGAGGTGATTATCTGCACTGATAACAAGAAAATTGGTTAGTTTATTCTGCAGTAAACTTATTTGGCACTGTTTTCAGAAAAAGATCTCGTGTTAATGGCAGATTTCAATTTTTGATGTGCTTAGCAGTTGGCTCTTTCCTGGGAATCCAACAAAATTACAGTTTTATATGCGTTGTGTCTGAATTAAGCCAAAGATCTGAAAAGGCCATAAACTGATTTATTGTTTCACATTAGAGGAGATTAATCTACACCGGAATGAAGGCACAGTGTTTATCAATGGGAATCAAATGGGTGGTAGAACTGTCAGCTGGTACCCAGCTCCCATCGTTGGAGGGGAGAGAGGTGATTGAAGGACTGAGCTGGTGGAGCTGTTTCACTGAGGGACTTCCAGCAAAGCAGCTTAAACCCTGCAAGTAGGAATACCTGCTTTGGAGCAAGTGTCTAAATAAGAACGTTTAAAACTGAGCTGACATGGTGATGAAGTCACTAAGGAAAGTCTTTAGTGGCTGGTATTTATGCGATAGTTTCTACTGCATAAAAGTTTGCCAGTATAAGCAGGGCATGTGCAAAATGAAGCTCAGAAACAAAGTGGAGTCTGGAGCTTGTTACCTCGTGCATGGGTGCAAACCCAGTTTCAATTGCTCTGCAGTTCCACGGGCAGCCACTTCTCTATGCTGGGGATTGGAGATATTGTGATGCCAGGTCTTCTGCTCTGCTTCGTCCTGCGCTACGATAACTACAAAAAACAAGCCAACAGCGATTCCTGTGGTGCCCCAGGACCAGGGAACATCTCTGGACGTATGCAGAAGGTCTCTTACTTTCACTGCACACTCATTGGATATTTTGTAGGTAAGTGGTTTAATATGGTTAGCTGCTTAGTGAGCAAGAGTGGGATTATTGTAGATGTGGGTTTGAAAGACGATGAAACAAAGTACAGAGGCTTTGGGAGACTGTGGATTTTATTTTGAGGATGAAAGAGATTATTGGCATCTTTCTGTGAGGAACTTTTTGTGCCTTGCTTTACGAGTGCAGAAGCTGCTCTGCTCATATGTGGTAAGGCAGAAAACGTGGGAATTTCTGCATGGGTTATGCTGTGAAAGAGTACAAATAGATGATAGTTGCAGTATTTTTGTATTCTAGGGTTAAGCCTTATGATCCTGTAACATTTTAGTATGTACAGAAAACTGTAAATAGTTGCAGCTGGAATGCTGTCTGTGATTTGAAGTAGCTGTTGTCCCTCTCCTCACTGACGGATTTTTTCTCCGAGGTCAGGATGTGTGTGCGTGCATCTGGATCTGTGTGTGTGTGCATCTGGATCTGTGTGTGTGTGCATCTGGATCTCCTCAGCCCTTCAGCAGATGCAATGGAGAGATCGTTTCTTTCCAGTTGTGTTCCCTACCCACCCACCCCTGGCTTTCCCGTGTTCCTCGTGGGCACATCTCCAGGAAAAGTGTTCCTGGTGTGAACAATCCTTCCTCCCAGCCCCTCATTTCTCAAGAAGCACCAGCACCGAGTAGCACATAAAGCCATTCAGCCTGGTGCACTCAGTTTCCTCTCCTTTGCTTTTTGTTATAGTTTGTGTTATTATTAGCTTAGTCTCTGAGGTTTAAAACTGAAGTGAGGGGCTCAGCACGGCCTAATACTAAAATAGAATAGCTTATAACTATTTAGGGAAAGCAAAGCACAGATAAATACATTTTTCCATAGCCTGTCTTAAAGTGGTGGGTAAGGAAACACCTGTGGATGAAAAGGCACAGAACATCCGTGTGCTGTTTGAAGATGTTCAGTCACTTCTTTCTTTTACAGGCCTATTAACTGCAACAGTAGCCTCTCGTATTCACCGGGCAGCCCAGCCTGCCCTCCTGTATTTGGTACCTTTCACCTTATTGCCGCTCCTCACCATGGCATATTTAAAGGTAAGGTCGGATCGTTGCTGGCCGTGAGGTCAGTGCTCCCATGCGGGGCAGCAGGTCCTGGGGGCTGCGTGTCCACTGCTCACCAACAGCCCAGGTCAAGAACTGATGTGCAGCTGCTCCCGTGGGAATTCTCACTTTGGGGCGCTGAGTAACTGAGAGACTTCAACTAGAAAGTAAAGCGTGCGCATGAAGTAAATATAAACTAAACTCAGAAGTGTTAGGAGCTGCCTTAATTAAATGACAGAGTTTGTCCTCCCCCAGCTGGCCGTGAAAGAAAACGTTTGCACAAAGGCTGAATCGAGAGAGGAGAGGCAGGTCTACACACAATGTTATCTTTACTGTTGTGGGGTTATTTTTGAAATATCCATCTAGCAATCTAGAGAACAGAGCCTAAGAAAGGGCAGAATTTTCCACCCACATAAATATTTGAGGTAGATCTGCCTCAGAAATGAACCGTTTTGACCTGATGGTGGAAAGGAAGGATGTATTTTACTGTCTTGATTGCAATCTGCAAAACGGGTGGAGAACAGTCCAGCTTTCAGATATGCCCATGGTTATACCTGCATTTTAAAGTCGGAATTCTAAGCAGGCTCTGCAGTCTCTAAGTGCTGTCTCCTGTGCTGTTTTGCTGCCCAGGGCGATCTACGCCGCATGTGGTCTGAGCCTTTCCACTCTAAGTCCAGCAGCTCCCGTTTCCTGGAAGTATGATGGAGCAGTGACCTGAACTTCTGCACTGGTCCCTTTCACTTTATCTTGTGGCTTTGTCATCTCCTGAAGCTGGACTGGCTGCCAGGTACTTGGGAAGGTACCAACTACAGGACTTGTATGAAAGAATTGAAAGGAAGGGAAGGAAAAAAGCTAAGGTGTTCCGGAGCTCCGTCTCATCGCCCCGCAGATGTGGAACTGGGGACCCTTCGTGCAACTGCAGCCACTTTCCTCTTTTCCTCACTCTGATGGATCAGTAGCAGACTGTTACCTACGTGAGAGAGGAAGAGACAGACTTGAAACTGAAAACGGCTTGAAGTCGTTCAAAAACTCGTGAACACTAAGAGAAAAAAAACAGTTAGGCAAACTGAAGCTTCTTCAGCGAACCCTCATATGCATTGGGACCAGTTTCCTGTCGGACTTCAGTTTTGAAAAGAACTGAGACAGAAGGTCTTCTGTCACAATATTGGGGTTTTTGTTTTGGTTTGTTTTTGGTTTTTGTTTTTTTTTTGATTTATTAAATATTTCCTGTGGTGTGAGGTTACTTATTAAATCCACAGACATTGAGTGACTTCTTGCAGTATACATATAAAGATTTGTTGTAACAAGTTACATTTCCACGCAGATGTCATGTTGCAGTGAAAAAGGGCACGATTTTTATACATATATATATACACACACATATAGATATATATATGAATAAACAAAAAGGAAAACCTGCTAAGATCATGCTATGTAGCAGACAGGGGCTTGCTGTAATTTTTAGCATGTAGAGCAGTTTACTCTGGCTTTCTTGTATATGAATCTACAATGAGCTGCTGTTTTTCTCCCCCGTCCTGAAACCAAACCTGCAGTTTGACAACATGTAGTCTTTGTACCGACTGTACTCATGGACTTCAGGGGATATTTGATTTTGATCAATGTAGCAAACTAGGGAAGCAAAACGTTGAAACCTGACCCTGTTTGTTTCAGGGGGGAGGGATGGGAAGGGTGTCTTTTTTTTTTCTTCCTTTTTTACAAACAGCTCCCTTGCAGGTTTTTAGTAGTTCCTTCCTGACCCGGTGCATGTATTATAGCAGCAATTGTCTTTGTGCTTTCTGATCATAGTAATGTATCACTTGTAAATACATTTTTTCTATTTTCTATTTTTTTGTATTTTTTTGCATTTTGTTTCATTAGTGTGCTGTATTTTTCCATGCCCTGCCCCTTAAAGGAAAAAAAAAAAGAAAAAAAAAAAAGGAAAAAAAGCAAACTGTCCTTTCCTGTTGTGCCTGGTCAGTCTGTGTGTTGATGCTCTGTACCTGACAGCCTGTTTGAGATGTTTTGGTGGCTGCTTTTTTCCAACCAGCAGTTCCAGTTCTGTTGCTTTATTGCCAGAAAGGCAACCCTGAGCTAACCAGAATGTTGGTTCATTGTACCTCGTTAGCCTGGTGCCGAGACCTGAGAGCTGACGGAAGGAAAACAGGGATGTTTCAGACTGAGGTCTGACTGAAAGCACCTGCGAGGCAGTGCCTTGTTACAAACAGGTAAGGGAGTTGAGGTGAATGTCTGATCCTTTCTGCTCTGTTATTACAGGAGCAAAATTTCTGTCTGGCCAAAGCATCTGCCTGTGCTGTTTTTAATTAACATCTTCCTCTGTTCTCCTCAGCAGGTCTGAGCTCGCAGGCCGTGGCGCTGCAGTGCCTCTGGATGGGCTGAAGCAGATGTGAGGCGGGTGAAACGTGAGGACACTGAGAAGCAGCCCAGCAGCCCAGGGGTGGAGGTGGTGCCCAGCCCTTTCGGGTGGGTGGGCAGCAGGAGGCTGCTGTGACTGATTGTTTTACCCCATTCTTCTCTTTCACTTGGTTGAAAGCGTTTTCTCTGTTGTGTCCCTGCTGTGCTCGCTGTCAGATGATGGTTACTTTCAGAAGTAAATATTTTTAAACTAAAAATCTGCACTTACTGTGGGTATTGGATCCCAGACTTGCAGTCAGCTTGGGACAGGGGGAAGTTAAGTTTGAGTGTAGCTGAAAACTTAAGAGAATAAAATATTGGTGAGTGTATTCAGAGAGAAAAAGGACACCATTTTTTTGCCTGGGGTACTGGAGCAGTGGAATATATCTCTAGATCTGTCTGCTGAAGCCTTATCGTCTCAGTCCCTCCGTCCCCCCGCTAGCATTGCACATCTCAAATGCTCTCAGTTTCTTGTGAGTGCCCTCCTCCTTTACAATTAAAAAGTCTTTCTCTGGTTTTGTAGTGGCATTTCTACTCCTTGCCAGGAACTTTTGCCTATTAGTGATTCTCTACACTTAAAAGAATTCTGGAAAAAGTTCTACAAGTGCTATTTAATTGGAATGAATTTAGCCTTATAAATCAGTGTTGCCTTGATGTGTGCTGTGTGTGTGTGACCTTCTGACTTGCACCAAGAAATGGAGTTGTAAATGCTTTGTTTCTAAACCACCTCTGAAATGATGGCTTGCCTTCCCAGGTGGAAGCCTGCAGCTGCCAGGTGAACAAAGTTGAACCCAAAGGGGTTTGCAGTATTGCAAGGGCAGCCACCATTGACAAGAAGAGGATTGTGGTGCCTTAGGGGAGGTTGACTGAAGCATCACTGCACAAAGCTGTTGCGTTTGCAGAGACAAAAACATTCCCCTAAGATTTTTGATTAAATTACAGCTTGTAACACTTTGTCCCACTGCTGTCCTGTTGAGAACAAGCTCAATTTTGTGGGGGAATAGAAAGGATTTGTACCTCAGCACTCGGCTGCTGGGCGCTCTGAACCTTCTGGCCTTGTTCCTTTGGTCTGCACGTTGAGGATGAAGCTGAGCGCACTGCTGTGGTCCTTTGGATTTGGGCATAGAATCCCTGCCCCTGCTGGGTCCCTTCTTGGTTTTAGGTTTTGTTCAACTCTTTCATTAAGCACTTGATACAGATTCCTGCAGTGCAGTCTGGAAGCACCTGTCTTCTAGTGAAAAGTTGTCAGGAAAAAAATATTCGTCTAACAAAAGCTTTTATTTAGGAGTGTAAAAAGTTACTGTCAAAAATAATAATAAAAAAAGCTCTGACTGCTGGTTAGGATTGGAACCAGCACTGTAAAATGCCAGGTAGCAAACAGTTCTGGGGTTGGTGTTCTGCTGTGTCTTTGGGAACAGTCAGCTTAGAAACTGCTGCTGACGGCTTTGAAGTTTCCCCACAGGACTTCATCTTCATCTTGAAAAGATCTGGAGTTGGCTTGGATGTATTTTGCAAATGCAAACTAGTAATTCCAGGTGTGCAGTGGCCCATTGGGAGCAGCCTGGGAGGGGTGCTGCAGTTTCCATGGTGTGGCATGCAGCAGCTGCTTGTGGAGGTGAACATTTCCTGCTGTGAGCGTGGAAAAGGAGCGTGTTCTCTGAGAGAAGGGGAAGAAGTCATGGGAGCGATGAGGAAACACGTGCTGACCATTGGGGCTGACCTCATCTTAGGATCGCCCTCAGTAAGGGAGAAATGGATGCGGAAGTCCCTGGTCGTCTTTTTATACAAGTGGTGAGCAAGATTTGGATGTTGTGTAGGTAAACAGCAGTGGCAGATGCACTTTCACTCAAATCCTACTGCTGCCTTTTCTCATCTTTATTTTTTCTTGTTTACAGGTATTCAGCTTTTTTAATTTACTGTAATCTTTCAAATTTGGTAATTTTTATGCCTTTTATGATCCCCAATGAAACTGGAACATGTGGCTGTGGTATTTAATGAGGGCTTTCAGATTAAGCAAAGCAAAATTTAATTTAAAACCATTTAAAACCATTTGTCCTTGTTTGGTTGGGTTTGTTTGTTTGTTGTTTTTGTTTTTGCTTAGCAAAAACACATCAGAAAGACAAGTAGAGGAAAAAGTGATCTGGTGTGAAAGCAGTGCTGCAGTAATTTCAGCTGAGTCCTAGGGCATCTCAGGTGCTCCACGTTACTGTTTCTTCAGCTGGGCTGTCCAGGAGCCCCTGGAGCAGGGCGGTGCAGATGTGCTGCCACTGTACGGCCAGGCCTCCTGTCCTGGAAACTCTTCTTAATTGGTGAGTTTTTAACCTCCAGCTGAAAACCTCCAAGGTTTCCTCTGCTTCATGCCCTGCAGTTCATTTGTAACCTATTTAATGTACATTCAGAGGGTTGTGGGCAAGTGTCCTTGACAAGGGTAGCTGTCCCTCCCCCCTTCTCCCCCATAAGTTGCACATGACCTGGTTTTCCCATCTTGGAGCCTTTGCTATGTTCACTCAGTTTGTAAACTGTCACGACAAACTTGGTTTCAACCTGAAGTTGAGCTTTTGCTGTAAGAGAGCGTGGCCCTGCTCACACACAGCCAGGTTAGTGCTCAGGCTGGGGGTGGATCTTGCTCAGAGCTCTATTTAACAAGCTGCAGAACTTGATGGTGTTTTGCTCTTTCAGCAAATTTTTTTTTCTGTAACAGCCCTGAGGAGCAGACAGACAAGCATTAAAGCTGAAATTATCTCAGACAGCAGCAGTGGAATAGGATTCTGTATGTTGCTCAGTGAAAAGCCAGCTCTTTGCTCTGGGAGCTCTGTGGAGGACTTTGTGTGTAACTGTGTTGTTTACCCCAAAATACTGCTGAGAGCTGTGCTGTGAGGCTGGTTACCTGTACCTGCCTGAATCTGTGGCAGCAAGGAAGTTATTGGAAATGCATTTTTTTTTTTAACAGACTTTGCACCCTTAAAGCATGGGGCTTTTTTTAGGTAATAGCAAAAGGGATCTCTTACAGCCTTGGAAAACATTCCTAGGCTCCTGAACATTAAAGTCATGCTGTGCTTAGGCCAGTGATTTTTGACCAGCTCCACCCTTTCTGTAGTTTGGTGATGTGCAGCATAAGTTGAATGCAGTGACAGAGGTGCATTGAGCAAATCAGCACCAAATATGCAGTTAGCCAGCTCAGCTGCTGTACTGATGTCAGCTAGCAGGAAGCTCATTAAGGAGGCATGCAGCGTGCTATCCAGGAGTTCACAAAGGCAAGTCGTGGTCACATGCATGCAGCAGGGCTCCCTGTGGGCAGGCAATTGCTTGATGCTGCACACGGTGTTCTCACAAAAGGTCCACGTGGGATTTTGGTAGATCTAGTTTGTAGTTGATTCAGTGTGTGCTCTGCCAGCTGTTTGCTGCCAGTCTCCCAGTCCAGTCTTCCGCTCTGAGGGCACAGGGGCAATTTCACTCACCTCTGAAGACGAGTAGCAATATTTAGTGTTGCTGATTGAAGGAGGTATGAGGAAGAGGCTGAAAGCAGGTGTAAAAGAATGATGAAGCAAAGAAAACAGTGCAGCAGGTGTAGCCTAACAGTGACTGCCTCTTCTGGTGCACTGGCGATTCAGTAAAGATGAGCACTGAACAGTGACACTGTGCTCCCAGTCCTCACCTCCTTGCAGTGACTGGGCCTGCAGTGCCTGCTCTAGCTGAGTGGCTGTGAGGAGAAAAAGAACTTTGTAATCTCACTTCCTCCTACAGAGTCACTAAATGAGGCTTAAAAAAATCATCAAAGCAGAGATACAAGTGGAAATGGAGCTAGAAGAGTGTCTTACACCCAGAAGACTTTCATTTACAACACATTTGCAATCACTGGACTGGTTTTCCAGTAGACCTACTGATTTCACTGCCTGGCTCTGCCAGATTATGACAGCAGCAAGGAGAAATTCAAACTCTGCCCAACATGCCAGCAAGCAACCTGCAAAGGCATTATCTGTATTACTGGGACATCTGCACTAACAACCACCCAGCACACTGCAAAGCATGGGCACAACTGCTGTGTGGGGGGCAGGGAGGGTCGTGCTTCTGTGTCTTGGGACTGGAGGAAACTATTCTAAATTGTCACATTTGAGTTTAGAAAAAAAAGGGGGGGAGGGGTGGTGCTTTAAAAAAGTTTTTAAAATCAGGTTTTATTCATCTTCTGTTCTCTTTTATGTAATATAATCTTGCTGTTTTCTTTCCACATAAATAAATGACACCACAGGAAAATAATCATTTACAACTGGTGTACTCAATGTCTGGACAAGGGCTGTGCAGATTGTAGTCTTAATCCTATCCATCCTTTCTTTTGGCTTTTAATTTTCAGAAAGTTAATTTTTTCCTGAAGATAAGTGATGGAGGAGGTGTTACTGCTAAATCTTCCTGTAAGGTTTTTGGTGTCATCTGTTCA